TCACCACCTTCATCAAAGTGTTCGTTGGATTTTCAATTGTATGTATTTTTTTCAGAAATAACTATTCATCTTCTAGAAGAGATCGAATGAAAAGATATTCGAGTTGGATGTGCTTCATCCTGACATGAAAAACAACATTCTTAGCAAATTGAGTTGTACTCATATTATCACTGTAAAGTTTTCTAGTACCCTGCTTGTTGTCTAATTGTGCCACTAAACTCTCATCTTCTTGCTAGCATCAGTCATCTTCTTGCTAGCATCAGCAATAGCAACATTCTCGGTCTCCTTAGTAGAAAGTACAACGATACTCTGCAGCCTAGAAACCCAACTCATCGCCGTGCCCCAATATGAAGATATACCTCGTTTTACTTTTTCTACTATCCACATCTTCTGTCAAATTTGAATGTACAAATCCCTGTTGACTGATCTTTGTATTTTCATAACAAAGTTCTCTGTTGATTGTTCCTCTCAAATATATGAGAATTCACTTTAACACCTTCCAATGATGTCTATTTGGATTGCTTATGTACCTGTTGACTACTCCCACTACATGCGTAATATCTGACCTAATAAAAATCATTGCATACATCAAAATTTCAACTGCTGAAGCATACAAAAATCTCTCCATCGGTGCTTTCTCTGCTTCAGTTAGACGATAGCTCCTTAGATTGTTCGAGGTGACTACCTAAATGAGTGTTAACTGGTTTCGCTTCACTAATGTTAAACCTCTGTAGGATCTTTTCAAAATATTTTATCTGAGACAATTACAGTGTTCTTGAACTCCTATCCCTACTGATTCTCATCCCAAGCATCTTTCTGATTAGACCTAAATCCTTCATCTCGAACTCATCTACATACAAAAGAAGCAGAGTATAACAATTACTAAAGTGTTGATGAAGAAACTATAGTCTGTCTGACAATTCAAATACTCATTTTCTGACATAAATTTGTCAAACCTCGTGTACCACTGTCACAGGGTCTGATTCAAGCCATAGTGACTCTTCTTCAATTTGCAAACCAAACTTTCTTTGCCTGGAACCTTGTAACCTTGTGGTTGCACTATGTATAGCTCCTCCACATTACCATATAAGAAAGCTGTCTTTACATCCATCTGTTCTAGATATACATCATCCACTGCTACCAGACTCAGCACAACTCTGACAGTTGTCATCTTCACCACTAGAGAGAAGATCTCCATATAATCCACTTCTTGATGTTGGAAACCCTTCACAACAAGTCTTGCCTTGTAGCGCTTGTTACCACCTAACTCCTCTTTCAGCCTGTAAAACCACTTGTTTGTGCAGTGCTCTTTTGTTATTTGGTAGTATCGTTAAATCTTAAATCGGATTTGACTCAAAAGATTACATTTCTTCATCCATGGTGAGCTCTCACTCCCTTGAATTTTCAAATTGAGTGGCCTCCTCAAAGCACTTTGGTTCACCACTTTCAATTAGTAACAAAGTGTAAAGTAAGAGAATACCTTTGTATAGATTATTTCCCTCTGTTGAATCTCCTGACTTCTGTAGTAGGTTCCTAAGAAACTTTCAATGTTCTTTCTAGTTGAGCACTTCTTTCTCTATCCTCCTGATCACCAGTATCATTTATCTCCACACATCTGGATTTTTTAGAAGTAGTTGATGGACTGTCCTGAGTTCTAACCTTATCCTTGTACATCTCCATTCCGTTGAAAGTGACGTCCTAGCTCTTGGTAAATTTCTGATTTTGATAATCCCAATACTTTACCTAAACTCATCCGAGTCATATCCAATGAAGGCGCGCTTGACAGATTTTGAGTCAAGTTTGCTTCTAGAACATGCATCAACATGCAAATATGCAGAATACTCAAATACTTTTAAATGAGATAGATACACTTTTTCGTCGCTCCAAGCTTCTTCAGGTAAGCCTTCCTCCAAAGATACTAACAAACTACGATTAATCAGATAAACTACAGTATTAACTGCTATAGCACAAAATTGTTTCGGCAAGCCTGCATGCAACCTCACGTACCTAACATGCTCCGTGATTGTTCTGTTCATGCGCTCAGCCACAACATTCAGTTGCAGTGTCCTTGGGACAGTGAACTCATGTCTGACTCCCTCTGTAGCACAATACTCACTTCTATTATCTGATATGAGACACTTTGGTTTCAAGTCTGTCTCATTTCCTACCATACTCTTCCATTTCTTAAGGAATTCAAATACATCAGATTTTTGTTTTAAGGAAAAAACTCATATCTTTCTCGTGTGATCATTAATGAATGTAACAAAATAGCGAAAATCTCCAAAGACTGAACTGGAATAGGACCCCATACATCACTATACGTTAACTTCGGTTTCTTTTGTTTCACCATTGACCCGCTAAAGAAAATTTCTTCTACTTGTCATAAATACAATCTTCACAGAAATCCAAATTTGTTGATTTCATACCCTTCAGCTTATTCTATAAAATTGGGGACTTCATATCTTTCTCTCTTATATGGCCAAGCCTACAGTGCCACAAACCTGCATCCACCATGGTTCCAATCACATCAACCAAATCATTCATTTCATTGAACAAATAAAGTGTGTCTTCAAGTTGCCCCGAGTTATCACTAATGCCCCCTGGTTACCTTCCACGAATCACCTATGAAGTACTGGCTTTACCAGTCGGCCCACAGAGATAAGATTTCTCTTCAAACTTAGAACACGTCTGACATCAGTAAGCTTTCAAACTGTTCCATTCGACAACTTGATATCAACATTATCATTTTTTATTATACTGTAGGCCTTGTTTTCTCCCAAATAAACCTTCCATAAATCACTCTGAGTATAGTTTTTGAACACCTTTTTATTAGGGCAAGCATGAAAAGAGGTACCTGAATCCACTATCTAGGATTCAATGCTGATTAGGGATAACAACAATGAGTCATTTTGGATTTCACCTATGGAGATATTAATAGAGAAACTACTATAACGTCCTCCATGATCAACTTTTTTTGGAGCTTTGTAGTCCTTCTTGAAATGCCCCTTCTTACCACAGTTCTAGCATTTTCCTCTGCATGACTTGGGCTTTCCTTTCTTGAACTCGGATCTGCCTCTGTCTGTATTCCTGCTCAGATTCCTTCATCTATTATCAGCATTCAACACAGAACCTAAAAATTCGCTATTTTTCTGCTAACTTCTTCATTTAACATTGTCACATATGATATCATTGAAGTTTAACTTCGAAGCCCCTGAAAAATTACTCACCACTGTTATCAAGCCATCCCAGCTTTTCGACAAAGAAGATAGTATCACTAGTACTATGACCTCATCATCAAACTTGATCCCCACATAACACAAATGGCTCGTCCCAGTGTTGAAGTTATTGAGATGCTCTGTCACTGAACTGTCTTCCGTCATCTTCATGTTGGATAAATTCTTCATCAGAAAAATCTTATTAGAAACAAAAGGTTTTTGTACATCTTGGCTAATGTCACCATGAGATCCAACATAATTTTCTCATTCACAATGTTGAACGCAACAGATGAGGAAAGTATCAACTTGATCAAATCCAATGTCGTTCGATTCAACACTTATCATTTCTCCAATAGCATAGACCCGGGCTTCCTTATGATTCCTTGTAGTGGCAAGTACAATTTTTTCTGATAAAATAAATCCTCCATCTACATCTTTCCGAAAACGAAGTTCGTCCCATTGAACTTCTTCACCTTAAACCTTGCTTTTTCGGTCATTGCTCTCATTCGAATCGAACCCCACTCTGATATCAGTTTTGTTGGGAATCCTCCAAACAATTCTCAATGTGACGGCAGAATAAAATCACAAGATTCGAGAAAATCAGAAGAATCATAAGAAAATAACATAAATGAACATTAAAGTTTTACGTGGAAAAACCCAAGAGCAGAAAAAAATCACGGAATCACACCACCATAAATTTTATTATAATTTCTGAGAGTTTTACAAAGGATTCACACAAATTTATTCTCGACACTCACACAAAGAAACTTACAGTGCACCACTCCACACTCTTCCTATTAATCCAACATAGAAACGCTCGTCAAAGAACACCCGAATCCTTCTAAGCAACACTTCTCAAATTCACTAAAATTTTGTTAATGAACAAACAGAAAGAGTTACGCTCCAAGCCTGCACATACGTTGCCCAAAACCGTGACAAATAGCAGTTCTCATGAAAACTGATCCGGCCTCCTGGGAGCCTCGTTCTCCGGAAACAGGCGCCCCAGTGCCAAAAGTGGGCACCCTAACACTCACTTTTGGCACCTAAGTGCCCAGTTTGGGCCAAGAATTTTACCTTCTCAGTCTGGGAACACTCAATGGGCGCTTAAGCGCTCATAGCCCGCTGCCTTAGCGCTGGGTGCACTAACTGCGTGGAAGTCAGCCAGCCTGCCTGCTGCTCATGGGTGCTACAATCAGACTCCACAACTAACATCTAGGATTTTATCCAAACCACTTGGATTTTGTAAGTAGGGTTCAAACTTTGCCAATAATAAATTTGAATCCAACAAGCCAAAAATACTTTATTATAGTTTCTAAGGATCTAGTTTTGATACAAACATGCTAAGAAGGCCTCGCATGAAAAATCTATGTTTCCATTCTCAAACCGCAACTCTTTCATAGTATGTTATTGAACTAAATCACTTCAAATAATGTTTTAGCAATACATAGTGCTCAACAATACACATAAGTTGAGGTTATGCTTTGTTTGATTTGGTTTGATTAGTCAAAGCTAAACTAGGCTTGATAAGGTTAAAAAAAAAGCATTGTGATTTCTTTTCAAGCAGGACAAGAAAATAGTCAGGCATACCGTCAATGTCATTGAAAACTTGAAGATTGATTGCTTTGACAGTTGACATAAGAAAAAGTTTGATGATCTTCATGGCATTAAATCATTCAAGCATCCTAGAATTTAATATATGCAGTGTTCATGAATGAGAATTTATACTTCTGATTGGTAATTTATATATATATATATATATATATTGAAAACTTTATATGCATTCAAACACCACATTTCAATCTCAATAAGAAGCGTCGGTATATTTAAACAATACATGAATTAGCATCACTAAGATAATTTAGTTGAACCTTGGCGGAGATGAACAGCTTGAACTGTTGGGAAAGCCTGCAAATACATTGGAGTACGACTTTGTTAGGTAAGCAAAGTTCGCAATTCGTGGCAAGGAAGGCACTCGTTCCCCTTTCTTCAAGAGATCTTCAAGTTCCAGCCTCTGCATTGTTAAAACAGACTTTGACTCCTTCCAAACAAATGCTAGATGCCCGTTTTGTATCTCAAACAAGGATCCTGGCTTGGACCCTGGGTACCGGAATCCATAACCATTAGCAATACCCTCTCCTGAATAAGTTCGCTTCACCTCAACAGGAATTGAATCCACATATGTCTCCCATGGGAATGGATCCGGTGAGGGCTCTTCAACTTTCACAATAAACATGGCTGAGCCATTGGGATGGAGAACATAATGGGTTCCTTCCAATATTTTGGTTGCAATCAGGATGAGATGTCCATCAATCTCCTCGTAAGAGAGAAGCAAAAAGAACAAGGCCTTTCCTGGCTTATCTTCTGAAGATTGCCCCGGAGGCCATCCAAATGTGCCGCCCCAAAGGCCAGCATATTCCTGTCCTTCTACAGGTAGTTGTAAGGGAAGCTTATATAGGGCAAATCTGTTGTCGTGCATATTTGGCCATGCTCTATAAGTTGTTAATCTCATTTTGGTAGCACATAAGCTGAGACCTATAGTATCTCCACCCCTCAGAAACTCATGTAGCTGCACATGCTTAGTCTCGGTAGAGGCTCCAGATGCCCCATTTTTCAAAACCGAGGGCATTTGGGAAGTTTTGGGCTTACCAATGAACTGTCTAAGCCCATCTCTGAAATAACCAGCTACCGAGAAGAAGTTGTTCCACTTTCTACTAGCAGAGCTGACAGTCGGCAAGGGTGAAAGCCCATCTCCATCGAGCGTTTTGTTATAAAAATCACTCCCGCCGGACTGTAATTCATCTCCCCGCCAATCAACACGGCCACCGCTAAGTTTGTGCATCTTGATTAGAACCAACCTCCTTTCCTCTAGAAGAGCCACCTCGTCGTCAATGGAGCTGGAAGAGGCACATGGAGGAAAGAGGGGAGCAGTCAAAAGGTCTCTCGGAACCTTAAGGCGGACTCTGCCAGCAACGAGATCGAGAAGTCTCCGACGATCGCCGAAGGCCAACCGGCTGAATGGCCCAGTGGGTAGGGCTGAAGAGACTGTGGTGTTGGAGAGGTAAAGGAGCTTTGCCCTCTGGTTTTCACCTGCCGTGAAATAGCAGGGAAGACAGTCGCGGTTGTCAACCTCGAGGAGGAGGACGTTGCAGTCCGGGCGAATGAAGCTGACGAGACCGGGGTAGAGGGAATCATCTGCCTCCCGGCCGTGAAGAAAGAAAGTTTCTGGGGAGCCATCGGCGTCGGCGATTATCTCGAAAACGGGGGTCCAGAGGAGCGGGCCGGCGGAGAGACCGAGTGGACCCAGCTCCTGGGGAATGACGCGGCACCCGACGACGGAGAGGAAACCCCAGAGAACGAATACCACGTTACCAAGCTCGGGGTTTTGGTGCACCCAGAGACCGAGAAGAGGGGATACGGCGCTGAGGAAGCGGCAAAGTGCGCGGTGGGATCGGACGCCAGATCGCCACCGGGGGAGTAACGGGGCGGGGAGGCCCGCTCTTCGGCACTGGGAAAGCCAGATCTTTTCGGAGGAGGAGACGACGGAATATAGGGAGCGGGAGGAGAGGGAGAGGTTGAAGAGGTCGCGAGGAAAGAGGTAGGCTGAGATCAGGGCGAGGACGTCTTCCGGTAGTTTGAGGAAGAGAGAGGAGCCACAAAGCTGCCCATTTTCATCGCTTCCGCAGCCGCCAGATTCCAGCTTGCCATCCTCCGGCGAGGAAGGCATATGAATTGGGGATTTCGGCAACTGGATCTGGTGAAGAAACAGAGCAGAGAACAAGTCGTGATCCGTAGTAGCTTGTCCGTGCGTTTGTAGTGATTGAACATGCTTCAATTAAAATAAATATAGTCACGAATTATAAAGAAAAAAACACGCAAATTTGACGCTATCCGCCTAAAAATTTATTCTTTGGCCGCAATCCAGGAAACGCCAGCCGGCTCTTGGGCCTCTTTTCGAGCTGTGGGCGATGGTAAGAACTTAATTCCTTGGAGTTTTGCAACAAGAAGTTGGGAATACATCTACTTCCTTTGACCACGTAGGTGTTTGCTGCTGAGTTAGCATATTTGATATTATATGGCGATGTTTACCTAGAGACTCCATTGGGTTTGAGTTGTTTACCTAGAAGGCTCGTCTGAGCAGACTATATAACTCAATCATATCGACTTGACCAAGTAACTCGACTAGGTAATTCGATCAGACAAAATGCTAATGATAAGCATTGCATAGAAGCTCACCTCAGAAGCTCAACTCAACTCCCTCACAAGTTTATCGAACTCCAAATTAGATCAACTTGTCCCACGACCGAGTTGGCCAATAAGAGTATTAAAGTGATAAGTCCAAGAAAAAAAAAATAAATAATTACAAATGCATGATGTACACAAATAAAATAATTATAATACTAAAGGCGGTGGAAAATAGAATGAGTAGATGGAAAATCAAATGAGATACATATATAATTAATATTTTATTTGTCATGGATAAGTCAAGCCGTCTATATGTACATTGCACGAATCTCAAAGATATCCAACGGATCACACGAAGAGAGCAACAAAAGAACTCTTCTATTAGAATAGCTCATAAATCATTGTAGTATTCCCAATAAATGAGGGACAATCATGTAATTTATTGGATCTCTTCTATGATTTATAAATAGGAGGGTTATTTTATACAGAAGAGACTACTAGATTTATTCACTGAGAATTAGTGTTATTTGTGACTTATTTTTTCTTTCTTCTCTTTTCACTTGTTATTCTCATCCGACCAATGTTTTATTTCTTGAGCGTGATCTGAAGAACATTCTGAGATTCAACATCCTAGAAGTTGTGGTGACCGTGAAATCATGTCTTTAACAAGAAGAGGAGTGTGCCACGGAGAAGGTTCTCACCAAGGAGAACTCTCCAATATGAAGTCCGTCAGAAAATTCATGCAACAACGAATGCAAGAGCTCGAAGATTGGATGGAGGGATAGATAATGGAAATAACCCATGTGGTGCTTAAGGGGAGGGCGCAGCCTCTCCCACAACCAAATCCTTTGGCACCTGAACCTCAAGTAACCCGACGGGTAAAGATGCTTAAGGCATGGAAGAATCTCACTACCAAGATAGTGTTAGATTTGTGTCGAGGAACAAACAATAAGAGAGGCAAATAGAAGTGCACAATCATCTAGGGAATGTGTTCCCCCAGCAGATTGATGAAGAACCCTCAAAAAAGTTTAAGGTTCCTACTTTAGAGCCATACAAGGGCCGTAGTGATCCAGTCAATCATATCACATCCTTTGAGTTGATTATGCCTTCTCAAAGTTTCTAATGCATTAAAATGTTGGTTATTCTTCTCCACGCTTAGGGATTCATCCCTTAGGTGGTTTAACGCACTCCCCGACAAAATTATTACTTCCTTTGGGGATCTCAAAAAGTTATTTATGATGCAGTTTGCTAGCGCCCAATAGTCATACAAGGATTCAGAATCCTCGTGGCACATAAAGAAGGGATCAAACGAGAACTTAAGGGCATACGTTAAACAGTTCCAGAAGGAGATCCTTAAAGTACAAAATTTAGAGCTGGTAATTGCAAAGCTCGGATGGGCACAAGGGTTGAAGTGCACTCAATTCAAATATCACTTGGTTTTACAAAATTTAGAAACTTTGGTTAAGCTCCTGGAGAGAGCCAACGACCACATCACAACGGAGGAGTACGTGAACCTGACTATCTTTAAAGGTGAAAATTTTGACCTTCAGTCGGGTAAGAAAGATTCATGAGATGATGGGTAAAGGGAGAAAGATGGCCCCCTCTCTAAGCGAGAAAGAAGTCGTCTAACCCGTAGGAATAGAGAAACTAAACAAAACACACAATGACACGACCAATCAAATGATCACTCTACTGGCTTTCAAGGAATGTCAAGGCCCACACAGCTAAGGGTCTCAGTGGTAGAATGGGTGGAATCTATTCAAGACAAGGATTACTTCTAAAAAGATCCACCAATGAAAACCAGAGCCTTCCTCTGGAACACCAACAAGTACTTCAAGTACCACAAAGATCACGGTTGTTATATGATTGAGTGAAAACACCCCTGAAGTTTGGTCAAAGAGTTGATACAAGCCAAGAATCTCAAGGAGTTTGTGGCTCCCGAAGCACACGCTTAGCATTAGGGGAAGACACCTGCAGAGGATGGCTCAGATGGACCTATCTGAGATAATGTTATCCACATTACAAGAATAGTGCAAGAAATACTAGGAGGAGATTTGGTCAGAAGATCAGACCAAAAGATGAGTAGCTCAAAATAAAATTGTGTTGTTTCTTCTATCTTAAAAAGGAAGCCCCATCCCTCAGTCATTTTCACTAAAGCTGACTTACCCCTGCTAAGAATACTTAAAATAATATCATTGTCATTATGACAATGATTAACAACTACCATGTGGGTTGTATTCAAGTTGACACAGGTTGCTCAGGGAAAATTCTTTTCAAATCTTCTTTCAGCAAAATGAACCAGTCATTTGATTGTTTGGTTATATTAAATGGCCCTCTATAGGGGTTTTCAGTGGAAGGAATGGAGCATTTAAGATAATCAGACATTCTATCACCTAGGGAGAATGGGACATTCAATTCACTAATATGGAAGATTTTTTGGTGGTCGATGCACCACCAATGTGTAATGTGATATGCAGTCGCTCACTTTTCAACAATTTTAGGATTGCGGTGTCTACGTACCACACAATGATAAAATTTTCTTGCGATAAAAAAATTGTAACAGTGTGTGGGAACTTACATCGGTCTCGGAAATGTTACCTCAGTGGGAATCATGGAACAAAGAATGTTGGACATACAACACCGACGTGAATGAGGTCTTAAAAATACTAAAGCCACTATCAAGATTTTTGTAGACCTCGATGATCCAAGTAAAGATTTTCAAATCAATGAAACTTTTGATGCATTGCAGGAAGATTTTTTTGTCTTGACTCTCCAAGAGCAGTGCAACGTGTTTGTATGGTCAGCCACTAAGATGGCAAGCATCCCCGCTGATGCGTCTTGTCACCCCCCCCTCAATGTTAGTTTGCTTGCCTAGCTTGTAGAGCAGAAGATTTGGTTGTCAACTACAATTTTGGTTCGATCAATTCAAGAGGAAGTGCAAGAACTCTTGGAGGTAAGCTACATACAAGAGGTTCCATCCCCCTCCTTGGTATCCAATATAGTCATGGTACATAATTCAAATGGGAAGCGAAGAATGTAAGTTGACTTTACAAACCTGAATGTGGCTTGCCCCAAGGATGGTTACCCACTACCAAGGATTGATGTGTTGTAGGCTCCGCAGTTGGACATTCAGCCATGAGATTTCTGAATGATTTCTCCAGCAACTATTAGATCAAGATGAACATGTTCAATGCTGAGAAGACAATTTTTATTACTGGTGAAGGTTTATTTTGTTTTAGAAAAATGCTTTTTGGGTTGAAAAACATTAGTGTTACTTAACAGTATCTTATTGATGTAATTTTTTTCTAAGAAAAAAAGATGAAATATTAAGGTTTATATTGATGATGTTCTAGTTATAAGTAATTCGGCCTAACATATATAAGTGGCTTAAATGAAAATTTTCAAACTATCAAGAAATGTAATATGATATTAAACTTGCTTAATGCATGTTTGGAGTTTCAACTAGAAATTTTTTTGGATATCTCATGATACCTTAAGGTATGAAAGATAATCTAAAGAAAGTAAGGGCACTCTCAGATATGCCTTCTCCCCAAAATACCAAGGAGATGCAGAAATTAACAGACCAAATATCAGTGCTTCACATATTAATTTATAAATTTGGTGACAAATGCGCCGCCTTCTTCAAAGTAATAAGGAAAGTTAAGAGATTTGAGTGCTCAACTGAATATGAGCAAGCCTTCTAAAGCCTAAAGTAGACAATAGTACTGCCTCAACTCCTGCATAGCCCATAGCTAAAGGAAGAAATCTCACTGCATGTGAGATTCGGACCAGAGGTCATCAATTTGACCCTAGCTCAGGAGGATTTGGGGCTAGGAGGATTTGGGAAAACAATTCCCTGTTTATTACACCAGTCAAGTTCTCAGGGGAGCTAAATTTAGGAGCTCAATTATGGATAAGTTATCTTTTTGTTGATTGTCCTGCTTACAAGCTCCGACTATATTTCCAAACACATATGGTCATAGTGATTAGTGATCATTCACTCTAGTCTATACTTGCTCATCACAAACACTCAGATCTTCTCTAAAAATGGGATGTGACAGTTAGCAAGTATGACATTAGTTACATTCCCCATACGACGATCAAGGTCCACACTGTTGCTAAGATTTTGATTGATTTCTCTGATTTAATTGAATAAGATGAAGGGTCTAAATCAAATAAGCAAACTTGGATCTAGTATGTCAATGGAGCCTAAAGCTAAGTAAGAGTAGGAATTGGGATAAGTTTATGCATCTCGACTGAGGATCACATCTACCTTTCGGTATCCCTAGTTTCAATGTTACAAATAATCAAGTGGAAAATGAATCTCTGATAGTTGTATTACGTTTAGCCCACGAGATGGGAATTTGGCATATAGCAGTTAAATCAAATTCTTAACTTGTTATCAATCAAGTCAATGGAGAATTCAAAGAAAAATATGAAATGATGGTCAAGTATTTGAACAAAGAAAAAACTGAGATAGGAAAATTTGCAAGCTTCTAAATTGAACATGTTGCATGGAAGAAAAACAAGTGGTTGGCTTTCTATCAAAATTCATATGCTTTAGAGAGAAGGCAACACAAAATCATTTTGGATCAACCATTAAAGAGCAAGATTCAATGAAGATTGAAGTTAAGAGTGTGAAAAGTTGGATAGATCTTTATGTCCACTACCTAAAGGCAAGAAAAAATATTGAGAAGGTGATAGATCCTCGGAGGTTCAAGCTTAAATAAACCAAATACTTCCTCCTCAGAGACATAATTTTCTGAAGTTCAAAAACTTCAGTACTTCTAGTGTGTTTAAGCAAAAATGAGGTGGAATATATCCTCCGAGAGGTACA